TGACTGTTTGTCAGCAGAATTGGGTCTGGAACGAGAAGGTTCACATCTGAATGGATTTGTGTGAGATCATGAATGTTCAAAATGGGATCCTAGGAAAGAATATGCAAAGGAGTAAATTATCCATGCTCACAAACAGCATCCAATACAGTATTAAAAGCTAATAACAATGACAGACGTTTAATTGACAGTGTGTCATTCTTGAAATAGAGGTTGCCCAGGGAAAGGCAAACTACCAGTTCTTACCTTAAGGAATTCATCAAGTTCTAAAAGCTTATTTGGAAAAAAATGTGCCACTAGATCCTCAGCCTGAAAGAGAAAGAATACCAGATATGACACATGAATACAACTGCTGATTCCACAAAAGGAAGGCTAAAACCAAGCCTAGGTATGGGTCAGCAGAAAACACCACACAGATAAACTCCTTGAAAGCTGAGCTGTTTCCAAAGGTTAATAACAAAAGTCCTACAGATTCTTGAGGCCAGTAGCACTCAGCTCTTTCATGAGAACCAGAAGCAAATTTAACTGCATGGAACCACTAAGCATTAGATGAAATTGCAAACATAAATTAGACACTTACTTCACCTGTGATCCGCTCCTTGAAAGAGTCTACCTGCAAGATAGAAAAGGTGCAACTTAGTACAGCACATTTGAGTTAAATGTAAGATAATCACCCAAGGACTCACCTGCATAAATTACAATTCCCCTTACAAATTCAGACTTCTACTTTTCAATGACAGTTTTGAATCACTATTAATGTTACAGAATATAAGATATTTAATAAAATAGATACTGGAGAGCCAACAGATACTTCTAGAGCCGTGATGGCGAACCTATGGCATGTGTGGCACGTGGAGACATTTCTTAGGGCACTCATGTGTGCGCTGGCCAACTGATTTTGGCCTTCATTTTCGGCCATTTTTGTTTTCAGCGAAAAACAACTCAATGCACAAACCGGAAGTTCGGGAACGAAAATGAAGGCCAAACTCAGTTGGCCAGCATGCGCATGCGTGCTGGAGCTGACAGGGCAGCTGTCAGTTTCTGGCCTCCAGAGGGCCTGCGGAGGGTGGGGAGGCAGTTTTTGCCCTCCCCAGGCTCCTAGAAAGCCTCTGGAGACTGGGGAGGGCGAAAAGGGTCTGCGGGGGGTGGGGAGGCAGTTTTCGCCCTCCCCAGTCTCCTAGAAAGCCTCTGGAGACTGGGGAGGGCGAAAACGGGTCCACCATGCCATCATGAGCCAAAAGCGGTGGGGGAGGGCGGGGGCCCGGGCGCACATGCGTGGTGGTGGTCGCGCGCAAGTGTGTCGGGGGCACGCGTGCACACGACCCCCCTCGTGCTCCCGCTTTTGGCATACGATGGCAAAAAGTTAGCCATCACTATTCTAGAGTATTAGACTGAAATAATGTTAATGGTTTTCTATATTTTTATATAGTAGGGCACAGTATAATAATCCCAAAATTTCACTGTCTTTAGAACCATGTATCACTCTGCTTCCTAGTTCTTTTGGACTTGTAACATTGCACTGACTGTTATAGTCAGTTATATTTGCTTTCATCTCCTTTCACAAAATTGTAGTGCATTTTTTAGATTATTTTAAAATATTTATGTAGAAAACAGTATATATCCAGTTTGTGGGATATTTGTGGCTAATGTTACTCTTGCAGCAAGAGAATCAAAATGTTTACTCTTCTCTTTATTTGTTCACATTACTGCTTGAGCTAAGATATGACAGTTTTCTACAATATTTCAGGAATTCACCCTGACAGTTTCTACTTTAACTAATGTTCAAATTATCATTCTTCCATGTTGAAAATATTTTTACTAGTCCTGGATGACTGAGAACCTCTACAGACTTTTAGCTATACAATTTGAGATGAACACCCTTTGAATGGTGTGGGAGTAGGAATGGATTTCCAGAGAAAAATTGCAGACTACAGGAACCAGGAGCACTACTCAGGTGACCCTGAAGACACAGAAAAACCTCCAAGTGCTTCAATGACCCTCTAAAACAGGGCTGTCAAACTCGCGACCCGCAGGCTGGATGCATCACGCGCTGGCCACGCCCACGCCCCGTATAGCAAAGGGGGAAAAGTTGCGATACGCCACGATGCCACCATGATGTGGGTTTGACACCCCTGCTCTAAAAGGATGCAAATGACCAGCTGTCTGCAAGGAATATAAATCCTTCCATTCCCCACTATCCTGTCAGAGCTGAAGAAGCTTCTTGGATGAGAAGTGAAATGTCTTCAAAGAAAAAACATTTGCCTCCTGAAAATGCACCTTTGGGACATTTTTACTAGTCTTTATCTTCTTATATATCAGAGTCATGCCTATTACCTATTCTCAACTTTTTGGCTTGTCGAATTTTAGCTTCAATTACTGTGCTTTTCCAAAAATAAGACCAGGTTTTTTTTTTTTTTTGTGTGTGTGTGTGTGTGTGTTCAGCCCCTTGTGCCTCTTTGCCTAACAGTGTTACCAGCAGCTTAGTCCATCGCCAAGAAGTGCGGCGATTGTGGCTGCAAAAGCAGCAGGAGCCCCCACATGCCTTCTCAAA